ATTTGGCAGTTTTATTAAAAATAGTAACAAGAAAAGTTAACCCACAATTAATGCAATTATATTTTTGGCAGTTTTATATTTTCTTTTAAAATTATTCCCAAAAAATCGATCAACTACATATGCACCCTAAATTCATGGGTTTTGTGGATTTAATTTAGGTAAATTTCAACTGATGCTTACAATTTTGCAAAAGTCAAAAATTTTTCTCATTTTTTATTAAAAAAAAAAATTGATTATCAGAAAATCGAAAATTTGGAATTAGGCAAAATACTATCACATATATCTTTTTCTAATTGCAACAGATAAATTGTTTATTAAAAAAATCAGATTGCATACAAATCGGGTTAATTTAGGTAAACTTCTACATGATAATTTTGTAAAAGTCAAAATTCTCTCATCTTTAATTAAAAAAAAAAATGTTTACTATAAAATCGGGAATTTCGAATTAGGCAAAATACTAAAACATGTATCTTTACCTAATTGTAACATATCGTGTTTATTAAAAAAAAAATGAATTGCATAGAAATTGGGCCAAATTTCAAATTGAAAATTAAAATTTAAGAATCCCTTATCATTTGGCTACTACTTTCTTTAGTTCGGATTTTTTTTAACATAAAACAGAGTCAGATAATACTAATTTGAAATTCAAATGAAATCGGATTGGAACATCTTTAAAATTTGGGTTTCGTTTAATCCTCTAGAATGCAAATTTGAAATTGATTGCATACACTTACAGAATTTTTCCCTCCCTTCAATTAAGTAATTTGCTATTTTAAAATAATAAGACTATAGATCATTAAGAAAGACTTTTACAATCTCCGTTATATTTGGCCATGCAATCTTCATAAAACCCGTATAAATCATATCATATATATCTTGCTAAATAATTAATTTATTTATTTAAGTCTATCTAGAATCCTAATATAATTTGTGGCGGTATACGATGCACCAAACGACTAAACAAATAATATTGTGTACAAGGATGTGTTTAATAATATATAAGTTATATTTTTTTTTTNCACCCCAGGAGGGTGGGGGGTTAAGGCCGAACCCCCAACCTGTATATAGAAATGCCCTAATTGGGATGAAAAGTCACAAATCTACAAGTCCAAAGTTTGATATACATCAAGTCAAACGAAAAACACAAAAAACAAAAATAAGAGAAAAATACAGAAAACAAGAAAGAAAGAAATACAAGGAGCAGCTGACATCTGCAGCAAGAAATACAAAAATAACAGATCCTGGTCCGGGGAGAGTCCCGGCGAAAAAGTCAGCATCATAGTGTGGTAAATGCGCCAAAGATAGGACCGACTACACAAATCTGAATGAAGGGTATCCCATCTGGTCCATCCGTATGAGGGTGCGGAGACGGAGGAGGATATCGCCAGGGTAAAGAATGCGTCTGTGAGGGGTGGAGGACCCGATGCCAGCAAGGAAGTCAGCTGGCCGGTTTCCCTCACAGAAGATGTGCGAGATCCGAGAGCGAATCGACTGGAGAGTGGCTCTAATACGCATGAGAGGGTGTTGGATCTGCCACGTGCCCTGATGGCCAGATGACACAAGAGTGACGACAGCAGCAGCGAAGAAGGCCGATCTGAAGAGCTTGAACCTCCGCATCATAGCTCGAAGAGGCCCGAAGAAGGGTATGAAACGCGGCAATAAGGTCGTCGTTGTGATCCTTAATCTGGCCCCCACCTCCTGCAACTCAAGTAAGTCGATCAAATGCTCCATCAGTGTTTAGCTTAACCCAAGGCGACTTGGGTTTCAGCCAAACAACAGCTCTGGGACGTGGATGCTGGACATGCACCAGCAGCGGTGGTGCAAGGCGGTGCGGTGGCGTGCAGCCTGTCCAGTCTCTCTGGTACATGTGTTTTACCGTTCTTCAATACATGCGTTTTACCGTTCTTCAAATCATTCATTTATCCAAATCTAAATGTTTACCTTAATAAAACTAGCCCCGTGAATCGCAGGAGTACCACACTAGTTATGTAAAAATAAACCACCGTATAATTGAACAAGAGTACAATGGAAAAAAAGGGAAATCTACGGTCTAACCCATAGTTACATTCTCACAAGGCTTATTCATGCTTGACCTACACCAAGAACAGTGCACCTTCATTGTTTCTTATGGCATAAAGTTTATTCATGCTTGACCTACACCAACAACAGTGCACCTCCATTCTTTCTTATTGAAATTTGAAAGAGAGGTCCAGTCAAAAAAAAAAAAAAAAATTGAAAGAGAGGTAACATATAAATGGGTACGTAATGTAAGATCAATGCACTGGTCTAGTCAATTTCACTATTATAACACTCTTGACCGTATGCTTCGCTGATTTCCAGAGCAAGAAACCTTGGGTAAACATTGAACTATTACTCCATATAATCCTGCTGTTAGACCACGAGAATGTCATGCGATACGTCGCTTTCTGGTTCAACCTCGTAAAATGCAGCTTACGTGGCTTCACGACAATGTCCACAAATTGTGGCGTGAAAATCTTCACAAAATAACTTGCGACTCGCTCACCAACGTTAGTGACCGTGCTCGAAAAAGTTGTTGACGGACCAAGCAAAACCGAGAATGTGGGGTAGTTGAGCTGTCCTTGTTCAATTCTGGTCGTGCAGTTGACCGTCGGGTCTTGTGTGATTATTTCAACTTGTTCTTTCGTGTAGCCCAAGCCACATATGTACGCGTTGTAGTCTTCCATTTCAATGTCGTAGACTAGACCAGGATCAATCGCCCTAGATGGGTTAACATGTCCAGCGCCCACCGCCAAAATGTCGGCTGGATTAAGATTCTCGTCAAGAACCGGCCGGCTTTGGGCATTCACAAGATCAGTCGTCGTCATAATTGCTGATTTTATGGCTGCCGGCGACCAATTGGGGTGGGCACTTTTCATCAGAGCCGCTATGCCGCTGAGGTGTGGGCACGACATTGATGTGCCCGAGAAGATTTTGTAAATGAGCCCCGAATTATCTGGGGGGCCCAAAGGCGTCCACGCTGCCAGAATGTTTTCGCCTGGTCCAATGATGTCTGGTTTCAAGATCTCGAGGGTTTGTTTGTTGGGCCCTCTCGACGAATAGTAAAAAATGGCCGGAGAAAACAGGTCCCCAACTACCGTCCCCTTGAATAAGATGGTTGCCGTCGGATATGATCCCGACTTCACGTAGTCCTTTATTTTTAGTCCCGCGGCATACGACACTATTGTGGCCGGAAGAACAAGAGCGAAGGATTGATGGCTAAACCCGGCAGCTTCCTCGTTGGCAAGTATCATGGCAGCACCGCCCGCCTCTTTCACTTATTTCCTTTGATCCACCTGAAAGATTCGTAGAGACCCGTCGCACAACACCACCTTCCCCCGAACCTTGATTCCCGCCAGCGACCTGTTGTGACAATATTGTCTTCCATCGGGGCCCGTGCAGTAGACGAGGCGTAGGAGATCTTCGGAGAAATTCTTGGGCTGAAATACAGATTCGCCGTCGAACACCCACCCGTTTCCCAATATCGCCAAGGCCTGGATCCTTCTGTCGATTGTGCTCGACCCGATGGTGAGCATCCACGGCGCTTCGTTGACCACCGTACACTCGGAAGGACCGTCGTTCCCGGCAGAGGAGCTCACGAGTATCCCCTTTTTAGCCGCGTCGTAAGCGCCTAACTCGAAGATGTTTTTGTACAACGGCTTGGATGATCGAGGGATAATGACAGGATGTCGACTCTGTCGTCGATGGTGGCTTCCATGGCTGCTAGAATATTTCCCTCGAGACAGTCGTTGTTGAAGCACGCTTTGTATATCGCCAGGTGTGCGTTGGGGCCCATCCCGTACGCTTGCCCGAAAACATTTGCGTCAGGTACGAACCCATCGGCGGCGGTGCTGGCCGTGTGAGTCCCGTGGCCGGTGTAGTCTATCGGGTTCTACTCGTTGTATTTGGAGACATCGCTGCCCGCTCTGAACGTGCGTGCGCCTATGATTTTGCGGGTGCACAATACGGGTGGTTCGCACGTCCCTTGCCATGTGGCGGGTGGACAGGGCATGTCGTGGTCTCTGAACGAAGGGTGGGTCGGGAAAATCCCGGTGTCCACAAGGTCGATGATGATTCCTCGGCCGAATTTGGTGTGCTTCCAGGTTCCGGCCCGTGGGTTCATCCCAAGGAATTCAGGGGAGCGCGTGGTTAAGGGATGGTATATAGTTTGGACATGGGCTGAAATGATAGCCTTGTTGGCCTTCATGGCTTTGACTTCTTGAGAGGTTAGTCTTGCCGAGAAGCCACTGATGACATGTTTGTACGAGTAAATCAATGAATGGTTGGGTACTGTATGAGGAAGAAGGGACTTGTGGTAGCTTGTCAAGGGAATATCATCATCAACTTTAGGCCTCTTGACGTGGACAATGTATGTTTTCAGTTGGGAATCGACACGGGCAAGGACTAAAACAGAGAGGAGAGGAAAGAGGGATAGTATGAGTGTATGGAATAATGTTTGAAGAGCCATGATATGCGGCTTGATTGTGTATAGTAAATAGTTTTGTGCTGCAGGCTTCTCAACTCATGATCAAGTGGATATTTATAAGAAGTTTAGGTGAAACTTAAAGGGTATTCACTTTATTTATCACGTTGATTTATCTCGATTGTTTAAGAGTGTATTTGATAAATATCATAAGTTAACTTATATCTTATTTAATTAACTTATAAAGTTTCTTGTATTCTGAATTTGGTATGGCGAGCTTTAAAAAAAAATAGTTTATCTGACAGGCTTTCTTAGGTAATGTTACCGAACACTCTTATTATATCAACTAGTTTTTCAGCCATCAAATATAGGAGCTATCAACTTGGTACGCAAAAGACCTCTGACTGACTGGAATCGGTCTGATCGTGAGCTCCTCGCCGGTTAAAGGCCTTTAGACCTGCACAAAACTCTCACACCGGAGAAGTTCTATGGTAAAGAGTCTCTGATACTTAAGTTAGCACTTGTAGAAGATGAAGTTCGATGTGTAGATGTATTTAGTGAATGTAATGTCTTAATGGGCATACATCACTCTCTTATATAGGGAAATGATACCTTGTTGTCCAAGACTGCTCGAACGGGCTGGCCGAACGATCGGGTTGCCGATAGTACAGCCCGAATTGCCCGGTCTGCTCGATCTGCTCAAATTGCCCAAACTGTCCAATTCTGTTAGGTCATGTGACCGTATCCACGTGCGGATCTTAACCCCTTAAGATTTCTTCTTATCCCGTAGCCTTTCATATTGGACCCCCTAATGGTGCGGCCAACTCGAGATCGTCTGAGTCTAAGTGTTGTCCTTTTTCGTCAATCAAACGATCAACCATGCCTACAGGTCGAGCTTCTAGCAGGCCATCAAGGGGCCCTAGCTCGACCTGTCGTTGTCCCTTTCAACCCTTCACTCCTTTCGACTTGAAGATGCCTTGTTTGATATTCGACCTCTTGAATGTTCTGCTTCGACTACCCAGTTCGTTCAACCTAATCGACCGGTATAGTGTATTTGCTCATCCGGGTACGGTATCTCATATCACAACTATAAGCTCGAAATTCATTTATCAGCTATCAGTTAGGTTTTGCCAAACATAGATTAAATTATCGAGATTTCAAAAACAAAAATCAAAATTTTACTCCAAATTTCACCTTTAGTTATTAGATTTCCAAAATTCCACTTATAATTTAAAATTTTTAACAAGNCAAAAAAAAAAAAAAAAAAAAGAAAAAGAAAAAATCTTAACTTTGCAATTAAAATCTCAAATCAATACGTATTATAAGATTTTTTAATTGAAAAAATCTAAGGGTGGTGATCAAAAAAATATTTTAAGACTACAATTCGGCCATGATTCAATGAACAATGGATTATTATCTAAGAGCATGATTATATCTAATACCCATTTATGCGGCCATGATTATATCTAATACTTACCTATACGAACAATCCATTGTGAAACATGAAAAGGCGTTTATTCTTTATCGACAATTGAAAAAAATAAAAGAGGTTTGAGAAAAGTATAAATTTTGCTATTGAGGTTGACATATAAGAAAATTATCTCTAACGCACATATTTTTTTTCAAACGAAAATTATATTAAAACTTCAAAACAAAATAAAACCGTGATGTTAGAACTAGAATAAAGTCGAGGTCCACCTCTTCGTTGGAATTGGAATTAGACGATCAACTAAGGGTATGTTTGGTTCAATGGAGGGAAAGAGAAGGGAGAGATTTTAATGGAGGGAAAGGGAGAAGAGGAGAGGAAAGGTGATGTAAAATAATTTTGCCTTATTTGGATGGATTATTTAGGAAGGAAATGGAGGAAAAATGATAAACCTTGTTTGGTTAAAAACTTAAAGAAAGGGAAAATAAAATTAAAATTACAAATTTATCTTTAATGAAATAAGATAAAAAATTAAAAACAATTAAAAGTAGGAACAAAATAGTATTTTCACATCAACTTATTACATTTCCCCTCCAAATCCCTCCAATTTTGGAGGGGAGGAAAAGTAAGGGAAGAGAAGGAAAATTACTTAAAATTTTTCTTTCCCTCTCTTCCTAATTTTTCAACCAAACAAAAGAAAACTAAAATTTTCCATCCCCTCCCCTCCCCTTTCCTCCAAATCCCTCAAGCCAAACAATACTTAAGCGAAATAACAAGATCACTCGAACATAATCCTACAAAAGGAAACAAAAAAATGTATAAAGGAGACTAATAAACCAGACACAACTGAATTGAATATTAAGCGCATTCACAATGTATTGGATTCATAAAAAAAATATAGGAAAAATTTTATCTTTATCGCATGATTTAAAATTAATTGTAACGAGTACAACACTCGTGTATTACACGGGTGCTTGTTAATTTTTTTTTTTAAAATTTTAAAATTAATGAGAAAAAGTGATTTAAAATTTAAATATTTTTTTATAAAAAAAATACATATTATTATATATTTTAAAATGACATTTGTTACTTATACGACTTAGTTGTGTTATATTATAATAATTTTTCTAATTTATAACATATAACTACTTTAAATATAATTATATTTATTTCATAAAGATAAATATAATTTATTTATTTTATACATACAATATGGATGTCAAATCGAATCACATCAAAAGATGATTAATTTGATTTATTATATATGTAAAACTGATAAGAAATACAAAAGTTATTAACTTTTACAATACATTTAAAATTTAATAGTTATAATAGAAAATAATATTAAAATACAATTAATACATCTAAAATAATCATAAATAATCAACAAAATCTAGACCTAATTATATTTGGATTGGAATTAAATTAAAATCTAACCAGTCAAATAATGAAGCATGTAATTTTGACACTTAGGATCCTAAACCATGCGAGCATACCATGTAAGCTCAACACATTCGAGAATTAAGCCTAACCCTAAGCCTATAGAGCCGATTGTGTCTGGATTTAAGACGAGCCTTAACAGAAGGCAAGTTGTGTTACCACCTTTTTCCGTAAAGAAACTCTTTGATGCACATCAGCGCACAGAGCTGGCATCAATTATAATATTTTGGATTTTACACAAACGACCAACTTTACGCCACCAAAATAGAGCAGAAAAAATTCCCTTTCCAAGCATGATGAGTTTCGTACAGGAAATGGAGTCCTTGCTATACAGTTTAACATACAATTATTTATTGATGAACATAACATACATGTAACTTGCATTCCGAATCTAGGGATGCACCACACCTTTGACAAACAATTTGCATTCGGCATTCACTGCTAGTCATAATGACTTCTATGATTATAAACTCGAGGGATTCAAGATTCCCCAGATATCCCAAAAACCGTAATTTTGAGCAGCTTTTTATGTACTTTGTCGATTCCCTGCGCCATCATTTGCCAGCCTCGACAAAATGGCAAAATGTTGAAGATCCTTTTATCGTATTCATCAATAAATCATTGACACCTTCATCGTAAACTTTACCGTATGGGCTTGCTCCTGAAACAAACAGCAATATATCAGATTCTACACAAACAGCAGTATTTCAGAATCTACACAAAAAGGGTTATAACCCATTACCAGTTAGCAAAGCTGACTTCAATTTTTTCATCATCCGTGTTGAGTTTCTGCGTTGCTCCAAACAAAGGTAGTTTCTGTTTTGCAGGTTTTTTTATCTACAGTAAATTAAAAGAAAAGGAAAACTGTGTTACTGTAACATAATAGTGAGTTCTGTTCGACAGTCTTCATTTACTATCTCAATCCATCACCTGATTTCCTTGCTGGAAGCTGCCCCAGCTATTCTCTTTTGGCCCCTTAAAGAAATCAATTTATTCACGATAAGCACCTACAACAGCCTGATTTAATATATGATAGAAAGAATCAGGAGGAACCTTTGCTGGTGTACTCATGGACCATGGTGCCTTGGGTCCAGGTTGTGATTCACACGCCAAAGAGAGCTAGTTGAGAAAAAGAAAGAATGATAAATCAGCACGTCACAAAAATGCAGTTTCTTTCAATGATACTATCTATAAGAGCATTATAAGCATAACAAGCATAGATGCGCGTGAATGAGATTGGAAGCAGCATATCATGCAAATCTAAGAAGACCGAATTATACCTTGTTGAATAGCTCGATTGGAGGATTATTATGAAATCTCTTGTCAGTTTGGAAATTGAATTCCTGTGAAACAATATAGATAACTGTGATGTTTTCGCAACATACAGTACACGAAATTACAAATATATTTTAATGTCAACTACCATTGGCACCGTGGATTCCTTTTTCCAGTTCCGGAAAATTCCAATGTCTCCTTTGCTCGATAATATCTACATTAAAACACAACGGGTCCTTTTAAGGAAGTTGGCACAAAAATGAAAATGGATAAAGTTTGAAATGCTACCTTCTTATTGAGGGGAAGAGCTTTGAAGCTTCGAGATGACTGGCAGCCATCTGGATTTGAAGCATTACTACAAACCATGCTTGGCCTGACAAAAAGAAAGCATAATAAGTTAGGTAAAAGAAAAATGTTAAGAAGAGAAAGGGTCCAACTGCCTTCCTGAAATATGCAACTACAAAAAAGCCAAAAAAAATATATATAAAAAATTTCTTGTCAGCGACAAGAAAAGCCAAGACAACAAGAAAACATTCAAATTAGCCAACAGAATGCACACAGTTACATATGAATCAAAAGCAGGAAAATTTAAGACCGCAGGTTTGGGGCAAAAGAATAGAGAGATCAAAAGCATTGCATCATATAGTTGTATAAGGGGTACATCAGGATGAAGCTAGGACTGGAAATAATTTCATGATGAACTCAACAGCCCATCAGAATATTACCTTCCAGGATCTCTGCTTCCATAATCTGTAGTTAAGTTAGTCGTGAATTTGTTTAAGTCCTGCCATTAGATAAAAAGAGAACAAGATCATCCACACGGGTCAATTATAGTAAACACAAAAGGCATACTGGATTAAAGCGAATCTAAAATCTAAACCCCTGTCAACTACAGCAGAACAACAAACAGTTAAGAAAGCAATATTAGTAATTTAGTTTTATCACTGCAATATTAGTAAATTAATTTATCACTGTTGGTACAATGAATTGTTAGGGAAAAATTAAATAGAGTATCATATACACAAATATATAAACCTCAAGAAAATAATGTGTCAGCGCTTCACAAACTACCTTGTTAGAATTATGCGAAGGAGCTGTGGACTTCAAAATTCCTGAGCTATGTTGCAGAGCCCTCTCTGATGTCTTTAAGTGAAACTCCTGGAACCAAAATTACCAAAAGGTATATATGGTAACACGGAATTAACATAAGTGAAAGTTCCCTAGATATGAATTTCCAACTAAACTCACTTGAAAATCTGGTAAACGAGGAGTGCTTCTCTTCGGAAGCAATGAAGGTGCTTCAAGAATCTGCCAGAGATTACAAGACTTAGATCTGAACACCATACGATAACTTAAAGATACAAAAGCTTGACACTAACTTTTCTGTTCAGTGGTAGAGCTTTAAATCTGCGAAACGTTGTTGTCACATTTTCATCTACATTACTTTTCTCCCTGAAACTCAAGAAACAAGCAACACATTCAAAATCACTAAGAGAGATTTTTCTTTGTGCACAAACAATATGCTGCAAATATACTAACAGAGCCATGCTAGAGTGGATCACACCTACCTTGTCCTTTGTGCCCTGTGTGTGGTTTCAAGATCTGGGTCTCTTGGAACAGTGATCCTTGGCTTAGTGTGAGTTATGTTACCATGAAGGAGTTCATCCTACCAAAATTAAAAGCCGTTTTTACTTGATTCAGAGCAGTGGCATTAATAACTTAAAAAGTGCATGGGGAAATGGTTGATAGAATCATGGGTTTAGTAAATAATTAACATACCCTCTTGGATGCCTTGTGAACAAAATTAGTCTGTTGCAGCTGTGCTGTACCCATAACCTGTGATGTAGAGTTATATAAACTTCCGACAAACGGTAAAACAGGAAATAAAATTCCATATCATAGACAAATTTTGTGTCGAATTCATCTGATATGCATATACATTCAATTCAGGAATGTATATTGACTCCAAGCTCATTGTGCTACTAAATCACAGATGCTGCTCTGAGATAAATAAATAAACAATATTGACTCCACTGCAAGGATACTTCAGTCACTAATAACAATCAGAACAATTCAACCATTAAAAAGATTAAAGATTAATAGGGTACCTACTCGGTCCCATATGCTCTTAAATCTTAACAATAACCTTCATGTTAATAGGGAAAATTTAAAGGCATTTACAAGAAAATTCTCAATTTGTACATTGTAATCAATTAATGAAATCGTGTCAAAGTTCCATTCCAGAACAAGGCTAAAAAAAT